GTCAAATTCAGGATGAAAACAATTGCTTTATGCAGTGCTTGCTGGGGTTTGTGCACCCCAAACATGTCACTAGGAAAATACATCAAAACCTTGAAAATGAATAGCATTTCTCAAAACTTAAAACCACTGAGCCATATCTGAGCTGCTATAAATTGGCATAGATCCCCTGAAGTCAGCAGCACTGTGCCAATACACCTAGGCTGTAGGACTGATCTGTAGTCATTAGCTGTCATCTAGCAAAGGTACCATCCTGTGTTGCTTTGCTTTTAATCTTATACCAAGGATTTTCTTTTTCCAGGATAGAAAGCCTGGATTTTTTAAATATACTACTAAATAAATATAATTTGAAATGTCTGCAGTACCTTTTCAAAGCAGCGGGTGGCACTTGCAGAGCAACAATGTTCTGTGATTTAGCTGCTTCTTACAACATTTACAGTGGGTTATTGCTTTGTCCATGTCGTTTTGGACAAATGGGATTTCATAGGATGTAGCATTCAGATCACCTTCACACCGACTGGCCTGAGTCCTTTTGCCTGCCTGAAGTCTGTCCTGCCAACAGCGGCAGTGAAAGGGGCCAGCGCTTGCGGAAGATGCGCTACCTGCGGATCTAATTCTGTGTCTGTGGGCACAGCTGTGTAGAAAAACTGAAAGGGATGTGGGAACCGAGACATGAGCTTTATTCATGGTTTCGTAGGAGCACATGCTTTCCATCTAAAACCTTTTCATCCCGGAAATATTATCGGTAATTTGCTGACCTGTCACAGGCATTCCTTACAGATTAAGGTAACCTGCAGGAGTTCTTTAAAGTGTGTGTTGTTGAAAACATATTTAACAGTGCTCAGATGCTGTTAGGTGATTTCAGGACAGTGTCTTAGGCTAAAAAATAATGCTTTACAGCAGAAAGCTATATGGCACTATTATTTCTGCGCTGACTGTACTTATAGGCTGCATAAAAAATAAATAAATAACGGCTAATAAAGATACACTGAGGGTGTCCTCACAGTACATCACAATCTGTAATAAAAAACCCAGCAGGCTAAACAGATATACCTTAAAATAACCTCATTAAAGTATATTGTACTTATTTAATTCCACATCATCTGATTGAGTAATGTCTTTTGTACATTGACACTGCTAATAATTTCCTCTGCAACATTCAAGAACTCGGCAGGTATCACAAGTTTTAATTGCCAGCCTCCTTCCACACCAGCATGCGGCATCTAGACATTATTAAACAAAATACTGATCATCACCCCTATTTTCTGTTTGTACAGTTCCATTGCATTTGCCTGGTGTGCTATGCAAATTTGGAAAATTAAATAGGAAGCAGCTTGGTTTATTTGTCCAATACAGAAATAAGGACACATATTTTAAAAATCTATAGTAATGTTTGATTTTCTTCAGCACCCATATGTATGTTGCTGTTTGACTGACTGCTGACTCCTTTAAATATGAGAAATGGATCAATCATGCATATCTAAAAATATTATCTTGTTTTGCTTGTATTTTAAATTTAAGATAAATTCACCGGGGTTCTGCTGAAGCAAGGACTCCTAAGTCCTAAAGAGCAATGAGGACCATCATCTTCAAAAGCCATAATCCTTGGACATGCCTGGGTTGTATTATCAGTTCCATTTTGGACTACTGAGATCCCAAGGTACCAAAGTATAGGATCTTGCATATGCTCATGTATTCCTGGATTAAAGAACTGGATGCCTGGCTCTAATCTAAATTCTGTCACAGTGCAGAGGCAGACAGGATGGCAACAAACCTTCAAAACTTCACCTAAGCCTCAGTCCACTGGGTATGCTTAGACCATGGTCAGTGCCCAAGGACGTCCTGCTTCAGGTGCAAGTTTCACAGCCAGTCATAGAATCATAGAATGTTTTGGGTTGGAAGGGACCCCTAGAGGTCATCTAGCCCAACCGCCCCGCAGGAGCAGGGACACCGCTAACTAGATCAGGCTGCTCAGAGCCCCGTCCAACCTGGCCTTGAATGTTTCCAGGAATGGGGCCTCCACCACCTCTCTGGGTCCTTCTGAAAAAAAAGCACAGGAAAAGTAAATGCACTTTTTGCACAAATAACCTGGTGCAACACCCTGTGTTCTGGTCCCTTTCCCCTTTCCTGTGACTTCTTAGGCATTTATTTGTTTAAGCATCACTGAATAAAATTCATTAACAGCTTTGGGAGCAGGAACTAGAACCCAGTCTTTTCTCTCCCATCTCAGTGGCTCCAGACATGAGGTCCTTCCACTGCTTTACTTGGACTCTCTGGCTTTGTGGATGTTGTACCTGCGGCTGTGCGGTGGCCAAAGACCAGAGTGCAGCGCTGTCCTTGCAAATCTCCAGCAGACAACTAGGGTGTTCACTGAAGGCATCAAAGACAGGGATTCAAACCATTTCCAGCTGAGGCGTGCAAGGGATTTAGCAGTATGCTTTTATGCAAAACATAGGCCACTGCCTCCAACTTTGTGAGTCTTGCTACCCAGAGGGAGGATTCAGCAGTCCCTGGTAGACGTATGTGCCAGATATAAGTAGCCCTTGGCTTAGACCTGCTAGCAGCTTTTCTTGAGATGTTCTTCTTCCTTGCTGGCACTAGATGGTTTAACACTGGCTTGGGGAAGCACTAAATGTATCTGTATGAGCACCAAGCCTCCTTGTAAAGTCTTTGAAAAGAAGTCGACTCCTTGCTCCCATTTTCCCAGGGCATGTTCCCTTGTTGACAACTTGGGTGAATTTCCCTGCGTGGGCCATGCGTTTAATGCCAAGCTGTTTTGACATCTGTTTTAAACACCTAATAGAAGTGGACTGTGCCATGTAGGGAGCTGTAGACAATTTCAGGAAAAGTTATTTGCCCCAGCTTCTTTCTGACATCAGATGAGCAAAAACTGGAAATTTAAAAGGAAATTAATGCTTTCTGTGTTGGAAAACTTTTTGATTTCTAAGATGTTAACAAGCAAAGAATTGTTATTAGAAATAAATGGACATAACACATTAGTAGGCAGCACACTTTTTTTTTCCCCCTGATGTTTGTTGTAATTGTAGTTATTCTAAAGCAATTATTTATAACAGGAAAAAACAACTGAAACAAAACCCCTGTTTTTCTACCTTCATTATTCCTGTAATTTTGTGGTTTGGAGGTTTCTTTCCGCAATCCTGATAAGGGGAAAAACCAGTTATCTGGGAATCCAGTTACTAATCACTGATACTAGAAGAAAAAAGATGTGAAAGAGTTGCCACTGCTTTCGCCATTGTCAGTTATATCTAAATCCATAATAAGGTACTATGCTGATAAATCCACTAAACCTGTGCTGAGGTACTGCAAATGAGTTAAAACCTACACAAATATGTTACAATATGTGGAATATTTACAGCTACACAATATTTAATATAATGGTATGTCTCATACTGTGGTTTTCAGTTTATTTTGATGTTAAGCATATCTAGGCAAGGGAACAATTTTTTGTTTTATATTCAGATATTCAACACCTCTGTTACTATTTTTTTTAATCTTACCTGGAATTCCAATACCTTATTTTCCAAACTACATTCTGAAGTGTTGCATACTTTATTTCAGTTTTCAAGTTGCAGGTTTTTTAAGGAACTCTCAGAATCTCAAAACAGTGGTGTTTTCAAATCATCTATGTTCTTACTTCCACAGGCTGTACAGAGATGGGTTAGGACCTGAGAAAGGTTAAAGGGGCCACACTTGAAAAAGCATGTGTTAGGAAAGAGATTGTACGTGGCTCTTACAGGTGTGGCTTAAAAAGCAATAGCCATTTTATTAAGGACAGCCAGTATAATTAACAAGTTGTAAGGCATTTTCTAGGCTTCTATTTTTCTCCAAAGTAAGACATGTTACTGTGAATCACAGTCTGAGTCTTGAGAGAAGTTCTAGCAAAACTGTTTGTCGAGTGACTGTGGACTTGAGGTAGTGTTTTAGAAATCTATTACTTATGTCCTTAGGTCAGACACAGATCAATTAAACAAATCCAGTATTTATAGTAAATAGTTTTAAAGAAATGTGCTTAAAGATTGCATTTCAGGTTGATCAAAAACAGGGCACACATTGATGGGAGCTGCCAAATCTCTCAACCATTTGCTTCAAGATAATGATCTCCAGTTGACTGAGTTGTCTTACAAGGTGCCAGAGGCTTTCTGTTCATCACAGGTGCAATTCCTCAGCTAAATTCTTCAGCTGTGATTTGTTTCTCAATTTGCCATGTTTGTTACTACTTGCTTAGGAATTAAGGGCTTGGTTTTTTCTTGTATCCCAGCCCTTTCGTTTAATGTCAGGACGTCCTGTTCACAAGAATATGCCTAAAGCACTGTTATGCTTATGTCATGACCAAAGGCAAACACAGGCACATTTTGCTCCCTACATTTTTTGCTCTCAGGTTAAAAAGGAAAAAAATGGTAGTGAAGCTGGCAAGGGCAAGAACAGGTGGGCAGGCCTCGTTTCAGGAGAAACAGGAGACCTGCTTTCATCTCACCTAAATCTAGGCACTGAAATGAGACATCTAAACTTTGTTAGTTGGTTCTTGTGTATAGTTGAGACATCTCCAGAGTATGATGCAGCCTAGTCAAAATCCAAAGTGGAGGAGGAGTAGCAAGGATCCAGATGAAGGTGTGACTTGGCCAACCAGAGCAGAAATTTGTAATAAAATGAATAATATTAGTGCTAGTCAACAAAACTATCTGCTTCTTTGCACACACAACTAGCTAAGGGTTGGGCTAGGGAGGCCGAAAGCTGCAGGTAAGGCTAGAATCTGACACATTCCTCAAGGAATTTGCTGTGTGTGACCATTTTGATCTTTTCCACCACTCTTCCTGGAAAAGGACACCTGTGCCACAGACTGTGAAAAACAGCTTTATGACAGAGAACATTACGTGTTTAATTTTACATACATTCGGCATCATAATGTTTCATTGGTCTGTCAGATACACATGCTATATTGCACAGCAATTAAAAAGTACACTGTCTTTTTCTCAATTTTATAGCTCCGTAAATCTGTTTTCAGCATCAGAGCAAGAAACCTTCTGGAAAAAGAGACAGCAATCAATAAAATTCTAAGGTAAGAATCAGCAGTGATTTTATATTCTTTTCACTGTCATCTGATTTCTCATAATCTTGTTTTTCATGAATGTTACTGTATGTATAATTTTTATGATAGTGTATCCTTTTGTAGTACATCTATTGCCTTCATTATCAAAGATGAATTGCTCTTTTCTTTGGATATACTATATGCTTGAACAGCAACAAGAGACAGATTGTTCTTCTTCGGCATGTATTTAAATTGTGTGTCATGTGGAAAGATTTTTCAGCTCTTTTCACATCTTCCTTCTAAATTAACCAAAAAATGTCTCTTCATAAGCAGTGTTATTTTGCCTAAAGAATTCCATCCTAGTTCTTGCATATATATGCACGTAAACATTCACAGGGGTTGTACGCTAGAAAGCATAGACACAGCTAATCTTATTCCAAGTAGGAAATGTACAGTGAAGAAGACTTCAGGACTGTGACTTCTGTTGAAGGATTTCCTGAATGTTTTAATAACAGTCACTGATTTCGGTACTCCGTATCACGTAAGTACTCAGCACCGTAAGTAAATAACGCACACCTAAGTCTCCAAGATCCATGTCTGAAGAGATCACGTGGGTAACACCATGCTGCAGTGTTTCGTGCCACTATTGGTTTTACATTAAGATTACTGTCATTGATACAAGGTGCAGTAGCAATGCCAACAATTTATAGATCATTATTTTTTATATTTACAATCTTACCAAAGCAGGTGCATCTCCAGAATATTGTGAATGACTGGTCCCAGGTAAATAAGCAATGTAAACAGATATAATTGATCTGAGAAGTACAGCTGTGGAATTAGGTTAAGTATGGCAGTGTTTTATGAGGAGCACTGCACTAGGAATTCAGTGTGATTTCTGAATTGTGAAGTTCCTTGAAAAGTGCCTAGTAATTGCATGCCATTGGAGAAATGTTACAGCTCTTTAGTTCTTTTTAATACTCTAAGAATACAGCACAGAGAGAACTGTAGAAATTAACATGCAACTTTATCTGTCTTTAAACCCATGGTAATGAAAACATGAACAATTACTAATTCAAATGAATGCTCTTTGTCAAAATATTATTGAGAAAAATAAGTACAAGACCATAAGTATTCCATTTTAACAAAACCTGGGGCTCTATTTGTAAGCATTTCTTTCAGTTAAATTAATGTAACTTGATTTTACAGGCATTACTGTTATGGATAGATAAATACAAGTCTCTTTGTCCTAATCAAAAACCTCTGAAAAATATGGTTTTAGTTACAGGCTCCATGGCAGTGTTTCAGTAAAACATGTCTTATTAAATTCTATGTTATATTACAACTGTGAAATGTTATTGACACCTCTAGGGTTACACAAATGTCAATCTGTTTGGCATGTTTCTTATACTATACCAGAGAGGAAACATGTAGACAAAAGAGAATACTCTACTGGTTTATATTTTAAACACTTTAAAAACCTGTCACATCTGTAGAGGCTACACCCTTTCTTATGCAGAAGAAAATATGAAGTCTTGCAATTCAGAATTCTGGTGAATTCTTCCATTAGCACAGGACCTTCTCCTTTTCAGAATTGTGAAGCAGAGTGGGAGGAGAATGCGAGCAAACCATTGTTTGGACTTCACTAATTTCTCAGAGGTACCAGGACAGAACCAGAAATCAGTTCTTCCAATTTCAATCCTGTTGACTCTCACCTGGTCCTTCAGAGCACAGCTTCTGCCAAAGTTTTGTATCTTGAAGGACTTCTCATCAATTCACCTTTGAATTCCTCTGAAGAAAAATTTCAGAGGCAGAAAAAGAAAGTTTTAATCTATTGATCTATCACTTAATTAATCTAGTAATTTAATATACATTTATACACATCCATGTATATCTGTTTATACATCTACTTCCTGTGTCATCATTGATGAGTGATCACTCCTGCCAGTGTCAGAGCACAGAGAGGCTTAACTCTTCACATAAATCTGTTCTGAAGTGGGGACTTCACCCTTCTGAGGAAAATGAGATAAAAGTGAGTTACAGACAGTTAGAACAACTATTTCAAAACATGATCACATTTAGTAGTGCCCCTGAATTAAAAACAGCTCCATTTCTTTCTGAAAATGATGATGCATTTCCCTCAGCAGCAATAATCACAGCTTCTAGCAAATTTCATTACTCCTGCATATCTTCAGTGTTTCCCACTTCTGTCTCGCTCTCTCTTGCCGTGGGCACTGCTTTTCATCTTAAAAGCAAGTTTTGTGCCTGTGGTTCTTCTGACCCTCATTCCTTGTTGGATCATTATCTAAGAATGGGTGTCTAGTTCTTTATTAATCCCACTGGTTTTCTGAAGTAGAGAGGGCAGATAAGGCCCAGTCTAAATGTTACGTATAAACCAGTGCATTCTCTCCAGTGATGAGGATAAATTGTAAACAGCACAGAATGGTGGAGAAACTGAGAAAATTGAAAGTAGTCTCACATACTCCAAAATATAATCAAAGTATCAGTAGTGCAGAATCTGATTCTGTTCTCTATTAAACCATGCTTCACAGAATCACAGAATGGTTGAGGTTGGAAGGGAGGTCATCTGGTCCAACCCCCCTGCTCAAGTAAGGCCACCCCAAGCTGTTTGCCCAGGACCATGTCTAGACGGCTTTTGAATATCCCCCAAGATGGAGACTCCACAACTTCTATAGGTAACCTGTGCCAGTGCTCAATCACCCTCACATAAGGATTTATGCCCTTATTTTATAAAATACAAGGAATAACTTAAAAGTTCTCTGATCTGTTGCTAAGAAAATCAAACTCACCAAAATCACAAAAATTCATTTTATTATAAATTATATATTGTGACAGTTTGGGAAACTAGCACTTTTTAAATGGGCAGGGTTTTATTTGTTTTTCATTACAGCTGATGCTATAGTCAAACTGTAAACTGATGCTAGGGGTACACAATACGATTTTCACTGTTCTAGTCAAGATTTGTCTGCTGCATTTACTGGACCTGAGGGAATAATGTAGCTCATGCTTGAATGGAAGTTTCAGTTTCATAAACAGCTAATTGAGTGAAGCACATTTATCTTATGTTTGAAACTGAGACTGCCATGAGTGCATCTTGGAAGAAAAAAAAATTGCTTTAATTAATTATCCAGTTCTAGTAACTTGCTAATATGCTAGAAGATAATTCAGACTGTGTTCATGCAAGTATTTCAACAAAATACAGTGGGGTTTTTCTGAATATTAGAATGAGCCAGAAATGAGATTCTCTGTGCTTCTAGAAAAGTTATAAAGTTAATCTGTGAATAAATTATCTCTGGACACTAATATAGTAGTATAATACACCACCTCTCATAAAAGAATGAGCAGAAATCTTCATTAGTTTGTTTATCACAGGAACATAGATGTTTTGGTTGGAAGGGAACTTTGTAGGCCATGTTATCCAACTGCCCACTTGAAGTAGGACTATTGCTAATGCTGGATCAGATGAGCTTTGCATCTTCCACATGCTCCCGTTCCAGCACTGCATTACCCTGCCATTGAGAGAGGCTTTTCCTGCTGTCCAGTCTGAACCCTCCATGCCACAGTTTCTGGCCATTGCTCACTGCTCTGTCATCTCACAGTAACAAGAGTTCAGCTTCATGCTTTAAATTCCTCTTCACAAAACGAAACAAACCCAGCTCTTTCAAGTCTCCCTGGAGGTCATGTGTTGTTGGCCACTGACCTCATGTACCTGCTCCTGTGTTTCAGCATCCCTCCTGGAGTACCCAGAACTGTGCCCCAAGTGCAGCCTCTCCAGCTCTGAGTAGAGGAGGGATAATAACTCTTACTGATGGCAGGAGCACCTTCATCCAGTTATCACCCAGGTAACTCCATCCCATCTAGATCCAGTGCACAGTGTAACTCCCAGATCCTTTTCCACAGCTTGCATGGATGCATGGAGCTATTCTGTACTCGGTGTGAAACTTTGCACATTTCCTTGTCTGACTTCATGAAGCTTTTGCTGATTCAGTCCTCAAGTTTATCAGGGTCCTTCTGGTTTAATGTTCTACCATTTAGTATGTCAAACACTGCTCTTTGCTTGTCCGCATAGCCGGTTGTTTCATCATAGAAGGCATACCCTTAGAATCCTTTATTAGCAATTTGCCTCTATTAAGTAACTGACTTGCGTTAGTCAGTTCTAAATCACTTACAAGTTTCTCTGTATATAATTTCTGTTTTCTCTCTTAAGAGTATGATTTCTTTCTTCATAACTGCGAGGCTTTGATACCATGCATTTCTCAGAACAAATGTTCCAGTTAAGCTCAGATGATGACTCTTGTCATCAGGAGCAAAATCCAGACTTAGTCACCACGTTCTTAAATCTCCACAAGCGTACAACATCATTGGATTTCACCTGCCTCCTGCAAAGAGAAACAGAAAGGAATACTGGAATGTACATATCTATTGGTAAGAAGTAGCTCTGTTTTATGGGGTTTGTGCCAAGTGACCACCATGTTACAAATCACTGTAAAGTTTTGTTGTGAAGCAGAGTTAGTCAGCTGTGGAGTCTCCAGCACTGCCAGGGTGGAGAAGGAAGTTAGACCAACATCAGCCCAGAATAGTATAGATATCATTGAACCTGCTTTGAGAGAGGTGGTAGACTAGATGTCCCTTTGAGGTTCCTTCTTCTCCATTGATTCTATCAATTCTTCTGCAATCCAAAGAAAATAATAATTATTATACAAACATCTGGTAGAGGAAGAGCTGAAACAGCAAGGTAAGAATGACAATGAGAATACAAAATGGCTGAAGGAAAGGAAGTATGCTACTGTAGTTCAACAGACTGAGCAGACACTAAAGAAAATAAGCGACTGTTTTTTCCTTTAGAGACAGATGGAAGGAAACAAAAAAAAAACATGGAAAAGAAAAACCATGAATTATCCAAGTTGCATTAATAATTTATTTTATTTTACCAGCCAAACTCAGATTTCTTTTAAAAATAGTATATTTTTCCCAAATAACAACGTACCTGTGGTGAAATTTTGCTTCCTATTCAAACAGTACCATGGTGAATTACATTTATAAAATGAAAGAAAGAAACACAAGAACACCTATCAGGTGGATTTACCACCTGTCACATTTAACCATATTTTCCAAGTTAGATGGAAGTATAATGAGAACATAGAAAGATTTAGTGAGAATAGAGAGTCATAGTGAAAACAGTGCTGAATTACATTTATGATAGAGTGTTTTACTGAAGCGTGCCACACTACTAAGACTTCAGTATGAGCACGTTTCAGGGAGAACAAGAGCTAAACTGCATAGTAATATATGCGGTTACTGCAGAACACATAAATATTCACTCATTAAAATAATACAGAAAAACAACAAATCAGTGTTATACCAGGATGCAAGAAAATGAGTAAACACTTGTTGTGGAGAGGATGCCTCCCTAAAAAATCCAAGAGTGAGCATATGCATACCATCTGCAAGAGACGTCTTGCATACTATCTACAAGAGACCATCATATTTATGAAAGGTATAGTATTTTGAAGTATTGATCAAAGCATTTAACATTTTGCATTAACTCAAAGGATGTTACTTGAACACTCTGTTCACTACTTATTTTTCAGGAGTTCCAAAGCATGAAATAGTTTAAAGGACTTTCAAAAGTTTGGACCTCATGATTGTTTGCAGGTAATACAAACTACGTAATATTCCAATATTGTATTGTGCTGTATGGTCTAAACCTGTAGCCTGGCTTTCTGACAACCTACTAACTCACATTTTCTTTTTCGGGATATTTTATTCCATTTGTGCTTTTCAAGACAAATTTAGAGTATGTAGTTGCAGCTGCTCGACTGCGTTCAGAGTTCTGCAAGTACGAAGTCCAGAAGCTTGAAGTATTCTTATCTCTTCTGCTTTCATAACTTCCTCTTTCCTCCATAAGTGAACATGAACCTGTCTCATATTTCATAGAGGTGGTATAGGAAGATGGGAAGGACAGTTTTAGTTAAAAGAAAAAAAGGGATTTTGCCTGCATTTTTTGAAAAAAGGTCAAAAGATTCTGACCAGCTACAGTTACGTGAAGATGTATCAAGTCAAGAAAACATTTATTTTGAACTCTACTTTGCAAAGCACTAGATTTTTAAAACTGTGACACAGTGATTGTACCAGGCATGGAATTCACCTCCAGACTACCAGATCTGCCTGTGAGCTAAGTGTTCAAATTGTCATTGAGTTGATAGAGGTCTAGTTGATACAGGCAATGGAGCCCAGTGAGATCTTTAGCTGACTACTTTGTCTTTAGATGCTTTATCACTTTATGATTACTTGAATAGCTTCCAAACATCATTAATTAAATTAATTGACCAAACATTAAATTAAGTTGCTCATATATGGACATCTAATAACATATGAGATGCCAGAGGATGTCCAAGACATCCTCTTGAGGATGGCTGGTAATACAGAAATTTGCGCAGGGGACCCATACCCTGCTGGAGCAGGAGTGGGAGGGAAGACAAAATACTCCAAGGCATGGCAGGTGGAACTGGCCACCTCTGTACAATCTATTTAATTGAGTCCTACATTTCCATTGATTAGGAGGGAAGCCTGGACACATGGCCCACATGTAGGCACTGAGAGTAAGCACCTAAGTGTAGGTGTCTATAATAAGAAATCAAATCCTATTGTAGATTTTAAAATAGACAACTTTGCAATTCAGAAAACTTCATGGCACCTGCCTTCTTTTTCAAAAGTCCCTGAAGTTCTGCAACTCTAGGTGTCTAAACAGCCAAAAAATATCCAGATTCTGAGTCAAAAGGATAACAAAGCATGGCTTTTACTAAGAGTAAATACAAGGAAGATTAAGGCACTAATTCCCATCAAGTGGTGCATGCCAGGAGAGAGGCTGTCAAAAATAGCCACAGCCTTTTCACCACAGCATTTTTTTCTCTGAAAATATAAAGAATTTATTTGCAGCTACTTGATAAAAGTTTCTGTTCTCTGTGCTGTACAAATGGCATTTCATTATTCCTCTGTTGACTTCAATAGGAGCTGCAGGGCTTCCAGAGTTATTGAAAATGATTCTAAATATGGATTTAGGAATCTAACTTAGGAAGAGATCATAGACAAGCCTAACAGTCTTTCCATGGATCTTATCCTTTATGTATGCCCATTCGGTATAGTATATGGCTAAGTGAATTTTATTATACCATTAATAATCAAATAAACCATCTTGCTCATTAGACAGGTAAAGAATTTATTGTTTGAGCATTTAATGTTCTCTTTTATTATGGACATTAAGAGTTTATGTAACTTGGTATTCAAGTCACCTGGGTACAAGGACATGAAAAGTTTATGTGCAAGTTACTTTTTGATGTCAAGAAAATAATTGCTAGCTGTTAAAAGAAGAGCACAATAATTTATATTTACAGGGGAAAAAAAAAAAAAAGATAAATTACCCTCTTTGTCACAGCAAGAAGCCTCTATATAGAAGTCAGTCCCCAGAACTTTCCATTGTCTATGCTGGGAAAAAACTGGATTGTCATTTTAATGGAGTTAGGTAGGACCTATTTTTAGGAAATAATTTTTATGGGTTTTTTTACAAGAAAATTGTGCAGGTATTCAAATGATATCTCTGTTGTCTTCTGACAGTGTTATGTAGTATCATCCTCCATAATATAATGCTTAAAATCCGTTGCTATTAAAATGTTTGTGATTTGGCTAAGATGAGCTGTGTTCTATGAGACATACAGTACTTTTCTTAAATGGCACAATGCTTCAGTTCAGTGTAGTATAATCTTAATGCCCTCTGTAAGAAGTGTAGCACAACTTATTTTTCTAGCATGCTAGTATGATTGGCAGTGATGACTCTGACAAGCATTCTACGCTTCTCATTTTTGTTCCAGATCTTGCTTTGGATCCCTACTTCTATCATTTCTGTGTTTAAATCCAAAAGAAGGAGAAGTAGCAGAGAAGAGTGAAAAATAAAGTCAATGTGGGGAAAGAATGTGCCTGGGACGCATTTTGCCATCAAGCGTGATCATCCCATGGTGTCAAGGATAGCACATATCCAAGCTTTACAGTAGACTGGCAAATAGAGTGGTCACTCCAATAGCATGTAGTTTTTTTCATGTTTTCTAAAAAAATGGAGATTGAGTTCATTAAAAAGTATGAAATATTGCCAGCTGCGTCTTGTGTGAGTTTCTCTGAATTATGGTATAGCACAAAATGAGAAATAAGCCATGCACTGCGTAAACTTAAAATTGCAGAATTCCTGTATAGTTAAAATATTTGGCCAAAGTTGGCCAAAGTGGCATTTCTCAGCCATCAGGGGAGTTCTGTCAGCTCTCTCTTAGTGAAAGCCTCTCTTTTTCTTAAGCAAATCCATTTCAATGTAGCCAGCAAAATAAAGATATGCATGCTCTGTTTCACTGTAGCACACTTACTAACCAACCATCTGAATGAAATACTCATTTCTGCCAAAATAGCATAAAACACGTTTGCCAAAATTCAGGAAAAGCAAAATGAAGCAAATGAGGAAACAAGTGAAAAAAGCCGCACAACAAAATGCTGCGAGTTCAATGCGTTCCCAGAGAGAAGACATTTCATACTACAGGATATCAGGAATGTGCAGATTTTTCTTTCAGACCACATATGGTCTTAGTTATGTAGAACATTCAAAAATATGCTGTAAGTCTTGAGAGTGCACATGAATATCTTGCCTGAAAGGCCATACAGCCCTGAAAGGGAGCTGCCCTAAAATGACAGCTGTACTTGTACTATTCCCTTCTTTATTGCTGAGAAGCTGGTTTTACTGGTGTTTAGTGCATCGCTTGACACTTTTCACACTTAGTGAAGGTCTTGAAGGACCATAAATTCTACTGAAAAAATACCATAAGGCATGGAGAAGGTTCTTCAGATGGCCACTTATGTTGCAGAGTGGGGACCATTGTCTTGAAAATAAGTTTTCATGGAAAGTCCATTGCTGTTTTATTGTTATTGTCTGTTAAGCTGTGCATTCGCTTCCCAGAAGGTCAAGCTGGCTTGTCTGAACGCGCCACCTCAAAAATTATCATTTATACTGAAAACTGTGTGTCATCATCATTATATTTCTTTGTAGGGCCTGTACTAGACAACGCATGCTGAGTGGATCCTTTGAGGGGCAGCCTGCAAAGGAAAGGTCAATACTTAGTGTCCAGCATCATATACGACAAGAACGCAGGTAAACATGGACAGAAAGCATGGTTTAAAAATATTCCTAAAATAAAGGAGATGAAAAGAATTAAATTTGAGCAATACCTAACGTGTGAAAAACTGAAATTACTTACTTGTACAAAGAACTGAATTCTACATTCTTCATTGTAACCGTAATGAAATTCATTGTACTGTATAAATGGAAAAAATGCCTTTTTATTTCAAATGTCATTTCCTTCGCTGACTACAAAGCTATCAATTTAAAGATCAGAAGGAAAGAAATTGGCTTATGTTAGACCGGATTGAAAACAATTGAAGAACATATAAGCTTCTGATGTTAGCGAGAGAAAAATGATAAGAATTTGAGATATTGGGTGGCTGGAGAGCAGTTCTTTATAATGGCCATCCTATAAAGGTCAAAATTTCATCTTGAGATGTATCATTAAATTGATTATGATCGTTTCAGGTCACTGAGACATGGTTCCAACAGCCAGCGAATCAGCAGAGGAAAATCTCTTGAAACGTTGACTCAAGATGTAAGTCCTCATAGAAATTATGGTTTCAATTTGAGACTATAAGAAATAAGTGTATGTACTATAAAATAAATGCTTGTATAAGACTAATGCCTATCTATAATCTTGTTTGCAATTTGTCTTTTGAAATCTTGAAAGGAAATCATAAAACAAATACAGCAATTGCATTAGAATTAGCCTCAAAATAATTGACATGGTTATTTCAGTGATAGACCTACTGGTTTTGAAACGCTTGCTGAGATAGATTCACTGAAGCTGTAGACACTACATTAGGAACACGACAATTGCTACCCAGGACACCTTAAAAAGCCTTACTCTGGAATTACACAAATCACTCAGGCTGCCAAAACAGCACTTCAAAATTTCCCATGGAAGTTTAACAATATTTTTCAAACACAAGAACTGTCAGACAAAAGGACAAAGACTGAAAGGGAGAACAGTAATCACAGATTTCACTGTGGTATAGTTTCATGCAGTTAAGTGCATTTTCACTTCTGCAAATTCAGAATGGTATTTTGTGGATCTCTGTGACTATGGAAATTCAAGGGGCAATGTTAGTCCTTCCATTTCCAAACCACGACAGTAATTTTCTAGATGTGCTTCATACTTAAAACCAACCCCATAAGAAGTAATTAATGAATTGTTCTGCATGGCGGTAGAAAGAAACTGTAGGTTACTGGTCTTTTCAAGCAAATGTGGCTTTGCTTGAGTCCAAAAGTAAGGGTAACACCCAGCATTACCCCTCCAGGAGTGCTCCAAAGACTCACTTAACTCTGATGGTAATGCGGATTGTATCTTCTGCTGGATGAGCTCAGGCAAGCGTCCTCCCTCCCTCTCCCCATGCTCTGCAGTCACTACCTGTAGGTTCTGCCCAACTTAACTGCCTGGCAGCACATGCAGCAGGCTTGGGAATCTTTGCCCTTAGTAACTTTGATGGTATTCATTCCAGTTCAGAGAGATCGGCTGAGCTTACAAGACCTTTGCTTTTAAAGTTAAAAGTTGCACTGGATGGGACTTCACGCATGAAATTAAAACTGAAATTAACCTTGATGAGAATAAGCAGCCTTGTGCTGTAGATAGGAAATACTGTACAATATGCTTGACTGAGTTGATGTGCAGTGCATTTGGAAATAAAGATTTTTCATTTTAATCTTTCTATGTAAAATACCATATCTTGCTTTCATCTGAAACATTAAAAACAACAACCCACAGACCTCATTTAAAAGGAATCATTTTGCTTCTAGCACTCCAACACAGTGAGATACAGAAATGCACAGAGAGAAGACAGTGAGATAAAGATGATCCAAGAAAAAAAAGAACAAGCTGAAATGAAAAGGTATTTAAAAATCAAAAGTCTGAGCGCACACTTTTCTGTATTAAGTGTTCTCTGCATGAAGTAACAAGTATTGAGAGTCATGATGAAAAAAGAATGAAGTGTAAGGGATATTTTTGCCAGGTATAATGCATATCACTTCATAATTTATGTTCTGTCTTTCAAAAGGAAAGTCCAGGAAGAGGAGCTGCGAGAGAATCACCCATATTTTGATAAACCACTTTTCATAGTTGGTCGTGAGCACAGATTCAGGAATTTCTGCCGAGTGGTGGTGCGAGCTCGCTTTAATGCGTAAGTTTATCCCATATCAGTAGTTGGTTCCAACAGGGGTTTACTTTCACGTCCCCAGAAATCTAGATCTAACTTCTATTTTGAAAGGAAAGCTGCATATACTGTGGTCATCACACAAGCTGGCAGTCAGTTGCCTATGGTATAGTCTTGCTGTTGGAAGAAATGAAGCAATAAAATACTGTGTAAGGGCAGACATGTTTGCATGGTCCGTGATGCTGAGATGAGACAAGATTGCAGGAAAACCACAGGCATGAACTGAGAGGAAAGGGCAAAATACCCCTATTTTTAGACTTTGGGGAATCAGCTTGCTATTCCCTTCCTATTCCTCATTGTAAGGCAGGAAGTCTTTATATACCAACAGTTACTCAAAGAACAGAAAAAGGTGGTAAGAAATTAATCCCACCTGTGCTCACCTGAAGACTCCTTAGCCCATAATTAGAGACCCAGAATGGGATGGGGAGGTGTTCGGCTGTGGGAGATTAAAGGAGAAAAGCCAAGACCAGGTGAAAACCAGGAAGACTCAGTGACTAAGCTGTAGGTGTATGCAAGTGTGGCAGATACATGTCTATGTACAAGCAGCTTGTCATGAAATCATTTTATAACTCTATATGTCTATGGCTAGCACCCTAATTTTGGAGGGTTAATGCATGTTGCCTTGCAAACAGACAGCGTAAGACAGAAGATAGCTCAAGACTATGAGCTTGGCGCTTGGAAGACCTGGTTTCAGCACCTGCTTTACTGTTGATTTTCTCTGTGCCCTTCAACAAATTACTTCTAGGTAGAACAACAGGAAGGTTAATACACAGTTTTACAATGCCCGTGTTTTAGTGTTCTGCCAGCTATGTAGGAGCACATCCTTGAGATAGGTGCCTACTCTTTTATGCAACTACTAGCTTGATTATGGTTTGCTGGTCCACGAAGCAGTTGCAAATTAAAACAGCAAAACAAAACACATGAACATGCATTCCAGTCCGCTTGTCAAATACATGTCAGTGCCTCTTAGCATTGTGGAATGCCTGAGGGTAGAAGGATGTTTACATTATCAACAGTTTAATTAAAATGTTTGCAATTATAAGAGTAAATTGATTTTGTTAAACAGCCTTTTTTAAATTTATTTAAATCCCACCTACTTTATTCATTGTCCCACCCAGCTTGCCAAGTAAGATATTCTAGATGTCTTTTTCAAGCTGGTGGGATACATATTTTCTTCTAGTAAAAAACACTGAGGAATGTCACTATACACAACATGGGGAAGAGGTATGAGCTTAAGACACAAAAGCCAGTGGTTTCAGTGGGCAGGCATCAAAACCAGTATATTCTGTATACTGACTGGTGTAAGTGGATGAACCTGGCCTGTGGAAGATGCCTCTTGTTCTCCTTGTGTGCATCTTGTGTTCTTGTAATTCATAACCATGAAATCTCTTCTGGTGGTAATGAGTCAGGTCAGTCCATTTTTCACTTTAAACTCAGCGAGGAAGCAATGGGAATTTTACATCCTGATGGCTAGAGCCCTCACGTGGACTATAGGATACCTCAGTGCAGATCCTATCTCGGCATGATTTGATACAAGGATTTGAAAGATAAGTAAAAAGTGCCCCTAACCACTGGGGCAGGGAAGGCTTCTTGGTTTGG